TAAAATTTAGTATGTAAGTTAATTAGAAGAGCTTCATAGAAAATAATTAAGATCATATTTAATAAAAATATTAAGTATCTTAATAGTTTGGTTGGTTTAACGTTAAGCTAAACAAAGATTATTTGCTATATGGTCACTACAGGGAATTGAACCTCGGATTTTAGCGTTTTAAGTCCGTGAACTTATCGCTGGCCCACTGGGGGATTAGAGTTTAATACAACAACATTTTAATTTGTTTTCTTGAGTTACTTAATTATAACATTTTTTAAGATTATATATTTATTTTGTTTGTTGTGGTTTCTGAATAAGAGTAGCCTAAATCAAAATATTTTGAGAGGTAAGATTTATCGCAACCAGTTTTTTTATTCTCAATTTCAACATCAATATCATAAAAATGCTCAAAATATATTTCTTGTGACTACACGTCATGTCAGAAGTACAAATAAATCTTTAAATATTTGTTCTTTTAAAGCTCAATGTTTACTTATTGTGACATTTCATTATTTATTAAAGCGCTTAAATATTAAAAATAATTTTTATAATATAATAGAGGTCACTGTACACACTGTAATGGCTGTAGTTCACACGTGTGGGCTGGATTGTTGTTAAGTGAAGGTAATTTTATGTTTTATGCAAATCATTTTAAAGAGTATGTCTACAGTTAAAATATAAAATTTCAGTACTTTAAGCATATTTATGATTTAATAAAGTAGTATTCATATTGGATTTATGGAACATTTTTATTTGGAAATTTTAATTAATTGACCGTTTACTTAAACTAAGTTAGTACTAATGGCAATGCTAAAAGTACTGTACAGTGAACTCAAAGTAGCTCTACTGGTAATAGTAGTAGTAGGCTGAAAAGTAACTTCAAATTCTGGCAAGTTCAAAATAACAAGTACTAAGCCTAAAGGCTATTAAACTGTATATTTGTTTAGTTTAAGCTTAATCCTAACATAAACTAAAGACGGGTAATTTTTGAATTACAACAACTAGATCTAGTATATTACTAGTATTAGTTACTAATTTTAGTCTAGTAATAATATGAGTGAAACCCAAAATTTGTTGATACTAGTAGTGGCAGATAATTAAGTGCTATTGTAACTTGTGATAACTTATTTAATAGGAATGTTATATAAACCAACTAAAAGATATGTATAATTACGTTTATATTTTGAATTGAAGCCTCTAGCCTGCTGATTTTGTGGAAATATTTCATTGGCCCTACACCATAAACTAAATATAAAATCATCTCTTACTTGAGCAAGATATCTCCATTATATTGGTATAAATATTTTCATTTTAAATATCAAGGTTGCGGCTGTATAAAAATGTTTCTTTTTGTGACTTATGAAGCAAGTTGAATTTGGAAACATGCACCAGAAAAAGGAAAAAAGATCTAGAAAAGTTGAAAGTAATGAGAAAGATAACTTTGATGGAATGGAAGAAACTCCTGCAAAAAAAAAACGCTTAGAAGATGAAAGTGAGAACAATCAAGATCAAATAGACAAGGACAAACAAGAGGAAAATATGGAAACTCTTGATACTTCTCATTCAGAAAAGGTCACAGCTGAAGATCTCTTTAACTCTTTGCTGACAGGGGCACAACCGTATTCCAGTAAGATGATTTTTCTATTTTTTTAACTCTTTGCTGACAGGGGCACAACCGTATTCCAGTAAGATGATTTTTCTATTTTTTTAACTCTTTGCTGACAGGGGCACAACCGTATTCTAGTAAGATGATTTTTCTATTTTTTTAACTCTTTGCTGACGGGCACAACCGTATTCTAGTAAGATGATTTTTCTATTTTTTTTTTCAAGTTTCTATGTTGGGTTTTCTTTCAAGATCAACAAAAACAAGTTTCATTTATTTAACACGTCCCTCAGGAGCCAAGGGTTATCTTGACACTACAATTTGTTGAATATTAAAAGTAAGTTCAATCCTTAAACTCCCAAAGAGGGCGGTTTTGGACGTATCTTTTCGAAACAAGTTTTCATTTGTTAATTGATAAATATTTAAGTGAAATACAGCATCCTCAAGTCTCCGTACTAGCTAGTATTAAGGTCTACCTGCTGGTAATAAATTCAGTATAAATCAATAAAGCCACATTCTCAGCATCATTAATTAAGCAGTTGCCAACCTTTTATGCTTCCGCTATCACTGTTTTATGTTTAGCTTTTAATTGAGATACGAACAATTTCACCTGTGATTTGGTAGGGAAGGTCAAAGCATTATGATATTCAACAGTAGGATGAGTAGACAGGAACACTTTGAAAGCAGATACAGGCATAATAATGTACTCGGCTTGCTGCACAAAACCTACCAAGGTGGTTCTAAATGGTTCCTGAATACCTCTACATGTCATTTGTAGACTTCTATGCTTTTTGTGCTTGGCCATTAAGCTTGTGATGCACTAACTAATTTCAGTCACCTTACCACTTCAAATCATTTTTAGCAGCCCTAACGATAAGATAATGCGGGAAATGCCTTCTTTTTAGCCAATAGAAATGACCAAAAAATTTCAGTTTAAATTAAGAAAAACTGGATTGGGTCGTTGTTTTTTCTTTAAACAAAAATGTTCCCCACTGGCTTTTGAGTGGCCTGTTAGAATATAATTATTGTAAAACAATCAGTGTTACTGTTTAAAGTTGTGGTTTTTTTCAGTGTGATGTAAAATTTGTGGATAATATTTATCAGGACTTATTTAATGTATACTCACGGTTTCTCAGGTTATAGTTCATAGAGAAAGATTTATAAGTTCCTGTTTCTCAGTAATGCTAATTTATGAAATTATTTATTATCATTTTTTTGTATGTTATGATATATATGTGTGTTAATGAATCACTTTAAGCTCTGTAGTTACCATACGTCTTATATAATACAGTATCAACATATTTGCAAGATGCTTTACAACAGAATGTTAACTCTGTGCACCATGATTATTTGGAGAATATCGACGCATTCTATTTACGTGTGAAAGATAGAATGAAGGAACATAGTGGGAAATTAAGTCAACAAAAAAAATCCAAGCATAGAAACACTTTTATGGGTAGTTGTTAGATGTCTTCTGTAATAACTAACATACCAAACAGAACATTGTACAGTTTATATTGATAATATATAACTTGAAGTCATACATTCACGTGTAACAATAAATAAAAATTATATGATTTATTTTATGTTTCATACTTTAGGAGTTAAAATTTTTTTATTTTTTTTCCTAGAAAGTAAATCACTTTAACATATATTTTTCACCAATAATTAAAGCTGTTGTTGATAATGATTCTTTTGTTTCAGAACTAAAATCATTTGTGGCAGCAGCAAAATGTTTTACCAGACGGGAAACTAAGGAAGATATTGTTAAGAACTATCTCGCTGCATCGGGAACGTGTTCCGAACTTCTAGATTTATTAAATCAGGGAAATAAAACTCCATCAGAGGTTTGAATTACTTTGTTGTCTTCAGAATTTGTAAAATACCCACCTCACAAAATGTTTGTGTATATATATAAATAAGATTGCTATAAGAAAATTTGTTTAAGTGTAATTGTGATATATGCTGTGGAATCATTTCAGGATTTTATTTATTGAAAATGGCTCCAAGTACTTAGTGTTGGCAGCATTTCTCTCTGATTTATACTTTTAATTAAATATTCTGAGTTTTGTTAGTGTGGTTCACAAGTTATTTTTGATTACAATTTAAGCTTAATAATATTTGCAACGTGAAAAAAAATAATTTTTTTACATCTTTAGTTATACCAACTCATTTTGAAAGTTTTTTTTTTTCTGTGTAAGACCTAGATTTCGTTTATATTATTGAAACTAGATGATGCCATTGCTCTTTTGTGTCTATCTAAGTCCCTTGTCTAGATAAAAGAAATTAAAGAGGTTAACGATAAGTGTTCTAGAATGTCATTTAAGATTTATTTTTATGGAAAAACGAAAGGAAAAATATTTTTATTGCAACGATTCGAAATAAGTTTTACGATTTTTTAGGTAGAGAATATCCTATACTGGATTTTCTGTACTGTAAGCATACATCTTCAAAATCTTATTTAAAAGCATTTGTAGATTATTACATTTTTAAACAGAAAAGACATGGCAGTTAAGAAAATTGAAAGCTCACATTGCTAAATCTTGATCATTAGACTTAAATTGTTTTAAGTTTAATTGTTTTTTAATATAAACTGTATTCAAGATGCGTTGCTACTATAGCGTGCGGTCTACTGGGACTTTTACACTATAGCGTGCGGTCTAACGGGACTTTTACACTATAGCGTGCGGTCTACTGGGACTTTTACACTATAGTGTGCGGTCTACCCAGACTTTTACACTATAGCGTGCGGTCTACTGGGACTTTTACACTATAGCGTGCGGTCTAACGGGACTTTTACACTATAGGGTGCGGTCTACCGGGACTTTTACACTATAGTGTGCGGTCTACCGGGACTTTTACACTACAGTGTGCGGTCTACCGGGACTTTTACACTACAGTGTGCGGTCTACCGGGACTTTTACAGTATAGTGTGCGGTCTACCGGGACTTTTACACTATAGTGTGCGGTCTACCAAGACTTTTACACTTAGTTAAATAGACAGGTCAAGTCAGGTAAAGTGGGGTCTTCTATGATCCCTCTGGGGTAGGGGTAATAGGGTCTGGTGAGTCTTGGTAGACTACGGATACTGCGGTAGACCGCACGCTATAGTAGCACCCAAGATGCTTTCACTTCAAGATGAATATGTATAAGTAAACTCAAATCTTTTTCTTTATTTACCAAATCTCACGAGTTTCGTAACATCATAGGGTACTCTTCACTATAAAAATTTGTCATGAATAACCTTAAAGCTTCTTTGGAGTTATCCACAATCTACTTAAGATATATCTAAAATATGAATATAAGTTTATTATATACTCAAGAGGTTTATTTCTTTTTTCCATTTCAGAATTCCATTATATTTCTCGCTCTAGAACAGATTCTGTTACGTATCGCCGAGGATCTAGATATTTATGAAACTGTTGGGATTGGAATAGTAAGACGGATCTTACAGTCAAATACCAGATCAATTTACACCATGCTTCATCAACGTCAGAAAGTCGCACATTTGAAAGCCACCCTGAAATTCCTCACTGCCATGGTCTTGCTTGGGAATGCGGCTGCAAAAGAATTTTTTCCACGTTTCAATTTTAAACTAGAAACCATTTACCCCTTGTTTGCATACATACATCACCAAGTAAGATTTATTGTTGTTTTTACAAACCCTTCATGTGTTGTGTTTGTACAGTGAAATTCTTGGAATCAGACAAAATCTCTTTCAAACCACTTAGTTATGACTTTGTTACTCTTTAGCAAAGAATAAAAAAAATGATTTTTTGTTTATCTTCTTTCCTAATGCTAACCCTTTTTTTTTCGATTTGAATATTAAAAGTATTTTAATATCATCAGTAATTTCAGTTTTCAAACTTTTGTTGATCTTTTCAGAGAACAACCGAACATCTAGCTTAGTTCATTGCTTAGAACACATGATTCTAATTCTTATCTTGAAGGTGTAATCTGTTTTGAGAATAATATGCAATTTTCTAATATGAGAGTTCAAATAGTTAAAACGGAAAAGTTTTAAAACTTTAGTATAATTTTGGACTCCAACAAAGATAGAGCCGAAAGGTTTTGTATCACTCCTCGCCGATAGTATTATATCATTATTTTAATCATGTAGAAATTTCAATCACAAATGATTCATGCTTCATATTTTGTGATGTTAGACATCGTCAGCCAGTTAGCCGAAGTATAATAACTTAAATACAAGTTTTATTTTTATGAATTTTGGTGCCAGAATATCTTTTTTTTTTGTCTCTTCATTTTTGTAGGATTCTCAAGATGTCAGAACCTGCTTGCTACACTTCATATTTTGTGATGTTAGACATCGTCAGCCAGTTAGCCGAAGTATAATAACTTAAATACAAGTTTTATTTTTATGAATATTGGTGCCAGAATATCTTTTTTTTGTCTCTTCATTTTTGTAGGATCCTCAAGATGTCAGAACCTGCTTGCTACACTTCATATTTTCCTTTATGGTTGTTGGAGATAATAACGTGATTCGGCAGCTCATGGAATTAAAAGGTTTGTTTGTCTGAGTAACTAATTGCCGAGTTTTTCTTTGCTTAAATCAATCTACTGATAAAAAATTTATCCTTTCTGTAATTGGAAGCTAATACAAGGTTGATAGCATATAATTAATTCTTGAGTTAAAACCTGTGGTTTTATGTTGACAGTATAGTTATGCCCATAGTTAGAGCATGATATGTGATGTTGTCAAGGATGCTACACCCTTTATGTAAAACCTATGGTTTTATGTTGATTATTTTATGGTGAAAGTATAGTTATGCCCATAGTTAGAGCATGATATGTGATGTTGTCAAGGATGCTACACCCTTTATGTAAAACCTGTGGTTTTATGTTGATTATTTTATGGTGAAAGTATAGTTATGCCCATAGTTAGAGCATGCAATGTGATATGTGATGTTGTCAAGGATGCTACACCCTTTATGGAAAATACATGTGTGCATATGGTTTATTTTCTCCTTGAAAAATTTGCAGACAATGGAATAACAACACTCAAAAATTAGGAAACAAATAATTTTCTTTATAATCACTGAGATTTGGGGGGGGTCTTTTTTCCCACTCCCTCCTTTCTATGGGGGATGAGCCCCTGTGGTTAATAGAATATCAAGCTGAGCTTAAATCCTTAGTCCTCTTTTCCCATATATCTGCTTCATTTCTGCTGTTGGTAAGAGATTCAATCAGCGTGAGATATGTTAAATAACTAGTGAAAGCAATAATGCTTTATAAGTTTGTGAAAGGTACCCACATTAAGCATGTCAGTTATTACATTGGCTTCACATGGATGTTGTGTGTGTGTATGCATAATTTTTTGTCGCACTAAGGCAAGACAGTAACATGAGGGAAGATCGAAAACCGCTGTTAAACTCATAAAGATAAAAGAATTAATAACTAGGTTCTAGAATTACTCTGGACCATATCTAAGAATCCCTGAAAGTTTCATGATGATCAGAGGTTGGAAATTTGTGTTTATGATATTGATAAATATTGTTTTTTATATTTAACACTGCACCCAATCTCTTCATTTCAGTCTCATGCAGTCAGGTATTCAGAAAAATATTACTCTTTAACAGATATCTTGTCGAGTCTAGTGTTAGTTGGTGGACTTGAATATACCACAATGTCATCTTATTCTTATCATCATTGGGTGTGTGTACATGTTTATACACAAGATTCACTTTTTCTGGATCAGAGGTAACTTCTGTGTGACTGACTTGGCCAAGATCATGTACCAAACTGTTCAAATCTAAATGTTTTTACTTAACAGGTAATGCTGGATTTACCCAGAGTGACAAGCAATACCCACGTGACTGATCCCTCTCATTTATACATAAGGGAGATTGTTATCTTAATATATCATCAGGTTTACCATTGCAGAGCACAGTCGTCTACATTCTAACACAAAATGTAGCATTACAGCCACAAATTCCATGGGCAGAACAAGTGTTATCTCCAGAGAAAGACAAAGTAACAAAGGCAGTTAGATCAAAATTGACTTAATGGAATTCTTTAAATGTTATGTGAAAACTACAAACTCCATCTGAGTGAATTTTTAGACTCAGCTGATGACTTTTAGGTTAACCGAGCTCCATAGCATATCCAAAATGTGCCATAAGCTATTTTTTTGAATATATGAAGCCTAAAAATGTGAAAAATTATTAAGATTTTTGTTATGTTTAATGCCTAACCTAAAATGTTCTGTTAATAAATACATAATTCATTTGTCATTATTTTTTGTTTTTAGGATTTCTAAATGCCATATTTCAAGGCTTACCAATGGACAAAGCTTCAACAATACACCTTGTATTAAACACGCTGCACAAGAAAGTAAGTATTGTTAAGTTTGAAATAGATCTTGGATGATCTTGCTGTTGGATGATTTGAATTTTGATGATAATGTACAGTAATACGTAGAAGTTTATCGTTGCTGTTGACCAATGAAACTTGATCTTTCATCTTTGTCACCTCATCAGTCTGATTCCTCATGTCTATTAGATTTATAGACGACAAATCTAATTAATAATTAGTTCTAATTTTTTTATTTCGAGACACTAATTACTAATCCTGTTCTATACTTCCGCTAATATTCTGTTGTTCTCAGAAGGACTGTATGACTGTGAGTCTAAAGTGATGCATGGGCATTTCAAAATTCATTTGGTTTTTGTCTCTGAACGAGTTATAGAAAATATTTCAGTTAGCAAGACAATAAAAATTTGGCTCCTGAATGATGCAACCCTGATGTGTGTAGTAAAGCTGTATTCTTTTGGTTTCGTTTCTGAACAGGTTATAGAAAATATTTCAATTAGCAAGACGGTAAAAATTCGGCTCCTGAATGATGCAACCCTGAAGTATGTAGTAAAGCTGTTTTCTTGGACTGGACCGAGAAGACAACAGCTTCAAAAGAAAGGAAAAAATAAGTTATTAGACGATGGTCCCACAGAAGCTTTAGTACGTGAAATGTTGACTTGTTTTTTTTTACAAGAAATAAAAATCTACATTCTTTGACTAAAAAAGCGACACAACTTTTTAGGTGTGATTTTTGTTTGTTCGTAAACTAAGAATGAAACTGTTTTAGAAGTTTGTCAATTCTTCTTCTTTATTTTATAAATAGCTATGGTGTAACTGATAACATTTCTCCTACATTCTGTCTTGGAAATAACTTTCTAACGTTTCTTTTATTTTCTTCGACTGAAGTATTTAGTGTTGTAAGAATGTAAGTCTTTTGTTTTTATTACACAGGATGCTACCGAAGAAGAAGTTACTTTAGTGAGAAATATAGCTCATGAATTTATGTTGGCAGTTTGTTGCTCTTACAAACTTGGTATCATCTTTCATGACTGGTCACTGGGAACATCTGGAAAGTCGGTGTCTTTTTTTGAGATGGCTTTGTTTTTTTTTTTCATTAAAATTTTAGTTCACTTTTTTTATCAATAAATTATTAATTCATCTTCATTTTCATTAACTGTTGGAAAAAAAATTATATCTGCTTTTTCTTTAATAGTTATCCTTCTCTTATACTCAGTATTATAGCCACCAAAAGTCAGCGAGATATTAATCTTGTTCAATTTGTATATTATTCAGGAGTGATATAAAAGTAACTGTTATTGTCTAAAGAGTTTGTCTACTTTTAATACTTTGCTTTTCTATGATGGTTAGTGTGTTGCGACTTGTGTTTGTAGCTGTAACTCGTGAACTATTTATAGAAGAGACAGTTTTACCATCTTTTGTTCTTGCCATATTATTATATTATCATTTTTCTTATATTATTGGTACATATGTAGTTTTAAGCAAAATATTTTGCTCGTTTAGATAAAGAATCATTCAATTATGACATGATGGTTAGGGTACTTGATTTGCAATCTGTTAGTTGTGGGTTCGATTTCCAACATTGATCATGAGCTCTTTCAGCCGTGAGGGTTTTATAATACGACAATTAATTCCACTGTTCGTTGGTAAGGAGTATTCAAAGATTTGGCAGTGGGTGGTTTTGACTAGCTTCCTTCCTCGAGTCTATCACTTCAAAATTAGGAACGGCTAGTATAGTTAGCCCTTGAGTAGCTTTACGTGAAATTCAGCAAAACAAACCATCATTGAATTATATTTTTCTTTTTAGACTATTTTTATTTGGAATGTTGTTTTTGTTTTACTCAATACTATAAAGATAGATATTACACTGATAGAAATTTGAATATTTTCAATATTAAAATATTGTATCAATGAAAGTGTTGTTATCAAGTAACTCAGGAAATCTGGTATTCTATGAAACAGGAATGAAAATCACATCATTACAAACCTACTAGTATCAATAGAGAAGCCTTACGCAGACAAAAGAATGTCCGATTTTGTTGTCCAGGTCTTACGGACTTGTCCAGATCAAGTCAAGCACTTTGTTTCGTCTTTGAAGACAGCTCTTGAGCCTCGATTATCTCCGGCCTGGATTGGCACTGTTGAACTTGTGAAAAAGGTGAGACATAAAATGCACATTTTATATTTTCAGGGTGTTGTCTCATTGAGAAAAATGGGTTTATTGGGGGGGGTGATATATGCTCATTCATTCAATACCACTTGACTTCAGAACTTTTGGTCAAATTTAACAACCAAACAATTGTATTTATAAAAAGTATAATTTTTCATTTATATAAAACTGGTGTACATAAAGTGAACTTGAAATAGACATGTTGCAAAAAAAAAAAGCATTAATAGTTTATATTTGAAATTTTGAGAGATTTTGTTATATTTACTTCAGGATTCTTATTTTATTTATACACATTTTTTACTTAAAACAGATTGGAATAGTTTATTTCACTTCTGTTTTTTTTTCTTATTCTCTCAGTGTATTAGTTATACTTTTATCAAGACACTACAATAGTTTTTTATTGTCTTAGTGTCTTTATGCTATCTTTATCTAGACACTACAATATTGATAATTCTTGACAAGGATATAATATGTTCAACATCTCCAGTCAACATTGGTTTTTAAAAAGAATATTTTATTTGAGTGAGTAGTCTAAGAAAAACCATTTTGGCAACTTTTTGTAAAAAAGAACTTACTATCAGAAAATCATTAATTAATTCATTAATTAATCATTAATTGTTAGGAATCTTTAAAAATGACCCATTTGATTGTTTGTAATTATTTTATTAATTATAGAAGTATTGTAACTTTTTGTCATTCATTTCTTTTTCTTTACAATCGAACAATGTTCACAGAACTGAGGAACATGTTTTTTAGAACTACAAGCAATATGATAAGAGTAAGTTTCCTCAAGAGTGATGTTCTATTAAAATGCTTTTTTAGGATTACAAAAAGTAAAATGTTTGTGAATAGAGATTTTTACTCGTTATGATGTTATTACAGATAATTGAATCCCAAAATCCAGTCGAGAGCCTTTCAACTACTAATGGCAAATTGAATATTAAGAACATGGTTTTTGCGATAACCACCCTTTGCATACCTCCAGTATTTCAGAGGGCAGTACTGGTTGAACATATTCAGGTTAGATTTAATACTGTTGTGTAACCAACATCAGTGACAACTTCTGAAAGAGTATCGTGTATATATGTGTGTGTGTGTAACATATTCAGGTTAGATTTAATACTGTTGTGTAACCAACATCAGTGACGACTTCTGAAAGAGTATCGTGTATATATATATGTGTGTGTGTGTATATATAAATATATATATTATAGTTTATGATTTGGAATATCACTTTAGATGATCGTCATAAACAATGTACAAATGTTAAGTTAAATTTATATTAAAGCTTCCAGGTTTAACGAGAGTTTGTGACCAAGGCATTTTTTACATAATTTACATGTGACCACATAATCAGTGGTTGACTGTGTAATCAAAGTATGACTTTCTAGACATAACAAACTGATGTAAAAAAAACAATATTTCCAGATATATAACATTATTTTGTTGCTTGGGGAGTGATGTCAAAAGATTGAAAAAAAAGTCTTGAAATGTATTTGTTGTTTTTACTTACAAAAAATAAAAAGTTTGAAATTGCATTTGGTTGTGGAATTATTTTAAACTTTTTCTTTTTTAGGTAAGGGTTTCATAATTTTTTTTTCTACATAATTAGTAATGTTAAGGTGTGTGTATTTTCCAATTGTATGCTGTATAATTTAAATATTTTGTTGGGCCTTGTGTCTATTCTGTGTTTTGGTTTTCGTTATAATACACTTCTTTTTTTCTTTTCAGAAAAGCCATTTTTGGATTAGGCACGAGATTCTCAGCATTATTTTGATAAATTTGACAAAGATGGAAAATGCCTCGACTTGTATTCAGTCAGGTAGTTTAGAAACCCTTTACTCACGAGAAGATTTGAACACGGTTCCACAGCTGCTGAGAGAAAGTCTTCACAAGGTAATACACTTTGAATTATGCACTCTTTATATAAAGAAAGTTTCTACATAAACTCTCAGTAACCAATCATATTTGGCCTACAGAGAGCTAGTTAATTTTAATTTCATGTGACAATACAAATTGATATGTTGTATCACTAAAAGTATTTAAAACATTATTGATACAATATTCCATTATTGTACCAAACTAGATTATAAGGGATGTGGAAAAAAATCTGTAGGTAACGTAATTTTTACAACAAATTTTAAGCCTATTGGTGTCTAATGTTTTGACATTTAAACCAAAACGTTTAGTAGTATGATGTTTTTTCAAAAATGTTATAGTTATTGTTTTGTCAGAAACCATGGAATCAGTGTTTTATAAGAAGTGTAAGGACCAGTGTTTTATCAGAAGTTTAGTGACTAGTGCTTTATTAGAAACCAAAGGATCAGTGTTTTCTCAGAAGTCTAGGAACCAATGTTGTATCAGATGTCTAGCCCTATGACTATCGGGTCCCACAACTTGTAGGACGTAACGTTGCTATCGATCAGTGCTTTCACAGAAGTCTAGGAACCAATGTTGTATCAGACTTCTGGGAATCGGTACTTTATCAGAAGTCTAGAGGTCATTGTTTCATCAGAAGTGTACTAGTCAGTGTTTTATCAGAATCTAGTGGTCACTTTTTAGTGGCAAGTTTAGAGGACAGTTTCATAAGCACAAATACTAATATTTAGATTGGGAAGAGATGGACCTTTAGAACTTAGAAAAATACAATTGTAGTTTAATTTGCTTTTTTTGTAACTTGTTTTTACCACACTTTTCTCTCTATTAAAATACTTTTATTTGCAAGCTTTTGGCCCTCTTATTGGAGCCTTCATTGGGTAACAATTATGCCTTCCAATTAGTTATTTGAGTTATTAAAATCATCTTACAGTGAAACTATATTACAAAAAATATTTTACTGGCAATATACAATTGTTTTCCTTTTTTTGTAAAGAACCCTGTACATGGATTGCCTAATTTTATTATTATTTTAACAATTGCAACTCGCTTATCGCAAAGACAAGCTACAGAAAATTGGGAATCTGGACAATAAATAAACAAAGTGTATAGCATGTATTAAAATTTTACCATCTCATTAGTCTATTTGAGGTTTAGAAAATGGCATTTCTAGGATTTTTTATTTGGGGGGTAGGGGACAAAAGGAAGGCAAATATTTAATTTGAATGAGCAAAAACAATTAACCCTTTTATATCACGGAAGAATCACAATGAAGAGACTCTAAAAATCTCAGATGGGGAGGGGCATCAAATTTCTCTAATGGGGAGAGTTTTATTTAAAATTCTGTTATTATAACTTGCCTTTTATTCAACTAGGCCCTTCCAGACATTTCTGTAATCCAAACATGCTTGGAAGAAGTAATAGCCAGTGGTTTGACTGCCTCAGTTACTGAAGAAGGACCAGATATCACCATAATCAACGGTAATTTTTTACTTTTTTATGACTTATTTCCTTGTTACATATGATTTTTTTTTTAAATATTGGACAGTGTGAAAAATTTCCTAAACATTTGAATATATTAGTTACATTAATGGTAGTTTCTGATTTAAGTTTCTTATGGTTTACAGCTCTTGAAACTCTGTATTGTAGCTGTTAATAATTTATACTTCATAGTAAACAGTTATTACGATTTACATATCTCACGTAACCATACCTGCCACTGTTTTATATTTTTAGAGTATACACCTCCATCCCTGGCACAACATTTGAATAGGATATTAGAAGTTCTGATTGGTTACCGAAACGTGCTTCCCCACCAGGAGATTGAACTGAAACTAGACTCGTTTTTGGCAGGTGTAAAAAAACATTCAAAAAATATGACTTCAGAAGATTTGGCTTCGGTGCAGTTGCAAGCTTTAAAACTAGTTTCTACAACCACTCAGAATTTGTGTATTTTAGAAGAGGTAAGATATCACACCGTTAGTTTTCTCATCAACCTGTTTCTGGACTTTTAAACTTTCTTGTTAATAATCTGCTGTTGTAAAAAAAATAATGTCTTTTTTTTTGTTGCTTGCTATACAAACAGGTTAACTGCAGATTTTTTTCTTATTTTCCAGACTTACAAATCTTTGTTATTATTGTATGTAGCTATAATTGATTTCATTAGACTACATCGAACAAATATTTCTTTGTGATTATTAATTTTAACACGTTCCTCAGGAGCCAAGGGGTGTAATTACACTACAATATGTTGAATATTAAATATAAGTTTGAGACAAGTTTTTGTTTGTTAATTGATATATTTTTAAGTGAAATACAGCATCCTCAAGTCTTCATACTAGCTAGTACTAAGTTCTACCTGCTGGTAGTAAATTCATTATATATTAGTAAAGCCACATTCTCAGCATCATTAATCAAACAATTGTCAACCTTTTATGCTTCTGCTGTGTTTAGCTTTTAATTGAGATACCAACAATTTCACCTGTGATTCGGTAGGGAAGGTCAAAGCATTACGATATTCAGCAGTAGGATGAGTAGACAGGAACACTTTGAAAGCAGCTACAGGCATAATATCGTACTCGGCTTGCCGCACAAAACCTACCAAGGTGGTTCTAAACGGTACCTGAATACCCCTGCATGTCATTTGTAGACTTCCATGTTTCTTGTGCTTGGTCATTAAGTTTGTTATGTGCTGACAGATTTCAGTCACCTTACCACTTCAAATCATTTTTCGCAGCCCTAACGATAAAATAATACGGGAAATGCCTTCTTTTTAGCCAATAGAAATGTCCAAAAAATTTCAGTTCAAATTAAGAAAAACCGGATTGGATAGTTTGTTTTTTTTTCAACAAAAATGTCTCCCACTGGCTCATGAGGGGCATATTAAAAAAAAATATCTGTACAAAGTGGTTTTGATAAAAAAATATTCATTATTATTGTTATTAGTGAGCTTGTAGCCTTATCTCAAGAATAACTCTCAGGATCAGTATGCGTTGACATTTTTAAACAAATTTTTCTAAACTATCTGTGCACCAAATTTTATGTAGGCCTATAATGTTTTTGGTGCAACATTTGAATCTTACGAAAAGATACTATCAATATTGTAATGAAACCCATTAATTTGAGATGAAATCCCTAGTGTATTTAACAAAGAAAATTAGTGATTTCACCCAATTTTTTTTTTGGTCCTCTGGGTGTTAGAACAGGGAAATATATACAATTAATGCTATATGTGGGAAGGGTATAAAAAAAAAACCAAGTTGGTTATTTTGGGTGTCAAATATTTTAAAAACAATAATTTTTAGAATATCAAAGTTATATTTAAGACTTGAAATTATAAACTAAATTATTTTGTGTTGATAACTGTATTTATTTGTTTTAATTTACCAGACACTAATGCTTTTTTTGTAAGCATATTTGTCTATTTATTTATGAACTATAAAACTATAAAAACTATATAAACTTTGAAAACTATAAAACTATTCTTTGCAAGATGAAAAAACTTAAAATCTGCACAATTATTAGTAAAAATAACAACTACAAAACTTAAAATCTAATAAAAATGATCCATATTAGTAAAAAGCAATAACAAAAGCCCAGAAAGTAAAGAAAAATGTTTTAAAGTTTCCTTGATAGCTCAGCACTAATTCTTATAACGTTAAAAAGCAAGTTTTGGACACTCGGAGTGGACACAATATGGATAGCTAATTGTGTAGGTTTGCGTTTAACAACAAGTAAAGAGATTTTGAAAGATTATATTTGGTTTTCTTCATCATCATACTATCAAAAGCTAGAGTTTAGGAATATTCCACAGAAAAATCTGTACTCTATGTGAATTTTTTTTTTTAAAGGAAACTTTGGACTCTCCAATCCTGCTCCTTTTGGATGTTTTTCAGTCAACGAAGGATAGTGACCTTAAAAAGTCAGCCAAATCGATCATTATTTCTGTAAGTAAGATTTTCGTTTTTTGTAGTTTGCGTACAAAATAAATATTATAAGTAATTAAAATTACCCTTTATTTATATTCAATATCGAATATTTAAAATTACAAGTTCTTCTGTACTTCATTCAGGAAATACAAGCTGCCTGATCTTTATGTGTGTGTTGGTTAACTTATCTTGGAGCTTTCTTAAAAATTATAGGTATAACCAAATTGTATTGGTAATATATTGCACAAAAAATGTAGTCTCAAAACATGATTTGTTTATGTGTGTGCAAAAGGAGTGATGGAACATTGGTAAACTTGAAATATTGTCTTTAAAAAATGTTGATATGACTTTCAAAACAATCAGTGATGCTTGACACATTATTTAGCATTCTTTTAACTTTTTTGCATTTCATATTCTCAGAATAAATTTTGAGCTTAGAAAAATCCTGTTTGATGTATGTTACTGACAGATCAAGCTGTTGCTTGTAAATCTGCCAGAAATGAATTCATTTTGTGAGTAAGTAATACAACAATTTCACCAAATGATAAACCACTAAAAGAACTTCCATATGTAGTTGTGAACAGTTCTTTCAAGTTTCTTTGTTTCATTTTCACATTAATCAGTGTGAGGTTGACAATAAAAAAATATATAGGTGGCTTAATATTTCAAACTAAAAATAAAATGGAAAATATTTGTAACATTGAAAATTAAAGGAATATACATTTATCTCGGAATAAAATTACTCCTTAAGTTGATCATGTTCCAGAAAATTGTCTCATGTTCCACTTGAGATAGAGGGGGAGTGAGGTCAATGAATCGTTTATTCCCTGGAAGCTGTAGAATTTTAAAATGTTAAAAAATAATGCCTTAGACTCCCCCTTCATTTAAAGTTTGATTATATCTTAAAATGGTAATAATATTATTGCCTCAGTGCCCTTTTAAAGAACAAAAACAGAAACAAAACTTTTTATATACAAAAATCAAACTTATTCTGAATCTTTAAAAAAGAAAATTACTACTGTTGAAAATGAGTTTACACTCCTGTCAGTTCTGTACTGATTAATTCCATTAAATAAGATGCAGAAGTCACAAAATTCAAACATATTATTGCAGTTGTAGAAATTCAAAGCCCTACATGTTGAAACTTCATTTTTTATGATAAATTAAATTTGTTCCTACCTTATACTGGCTGCTTAACGAGCCACTACCTTAGAAAGGACATGTTTAGGAGCAATAAAAATCTTCTTCGTGGATCACATTTGTAGATAGGCTACTATCTTAGCCAATGATAATGTTTTGAGAGCAAGAACTTACTAACTGACGTATCCTAAACAGAGTCACTTGTGTCTGATATTCTCTGTTCCAAATGTTATTTGTACCAACCATTACTAAATTGATGGGCCCGGCATGGCCAGGTGGTTAGGGTGCTCGACTCGCAATCTGCAGGTTGTGGGTTCGAATCCCCGTCCCACCAAACATGCTCGCCCTTTCAGCCATGGGGGCGTTATAATGTGATAACCAATCCTACTATTCATTGGTAAAAGAGTAGCCCAAGAGTGGGTGGTGATGACTAGCTGCCTTCCCTCTAGTCTTACACTGCTAAATTAGGGAAGGCTAATGCAGATAGCCCTCGTGTAACTTTGCACGAAATTAAAAAAAAACTAAATTGGTTTTTAGTTTGCTTTATAAGTTTTTTAATTCAGAGTTATTGATCTAATTAGTGACTAATCTCTAAGGTAATTAAACAGTATATTTATACATTTCAAAATACCAGTGTAGTGTATATTTTCTTTATGTTTATGAAGTTCCCTTTGTTACATTTCAAGCACTGTAGGATAGTGCTATAGGTAATAGGTATCTTTTGGAACTATTTTGGTTGTTTTGAACAAAGACAAAAATTAGAAATGTAGTGGTATACGAATAAATTAAAAGTATTTAGTGACAGTATTGGTTAATACTTTTAATTTATTCAAAAAGTGACAGTGTTGGTTTTTGAATAAATTAAAAGTATTAAATGACAGTGCTGGTTTTTGAATAAATTAAAAACATTTAGTGACAGTGTTGGTTTTTGAATAAATTAAAAGTACTAAGTGACAGTGTTGGTTTTTGAATAAATTAAAAGTATTAAGTGACAGTGTTGGTTTTTGAATAAATTAAAAGTACTAAGCGACAGTGCTGGTTTTTGAATAAATTAAAAGTACTAAGCGACAGTGCTGGTTTTTGAATAAATTAAAAGTATTAAGTGACAGTGTTGGTTTTTGAATAAATTAAAAGTATTAAGTGACAGTGTTGGTTTTTGAATAAATTAAAAGTATTAAGTGACAGTGTTGGTTTTTGTCTTTGCATAGTAATAAAATTGTAAGAAAAAAAAGACACAAGTTTTGAAATTTCAACAACTTTTGTTTCGCACAAAATCCACAATTTCATGCAGTTCATTCCTGGATTTGTTTAAGTTTGGTTCCAATTTCTCAAAAAAATTGCTACAAAATTTAAAGAGTCAGCTTAAACACTGGTTACTCATTAACTACTAATAACATTTTGATGTTTTATTCTTAACGTTGCTCTTAATCCAATAGGATCTTTTGTTTAATGTTTCATTTCATTCTTCAAAATGTTATCCATAAAACCTTTAAATGTAGTTTTGTCTTTACGGTTTCGTACAATAAAGCTCGTAGAAACATTTTCTTACTGGGTTTCTCTGATTTGACTTGGATAACAGATAGGATCACAGAAGCAGTGAAATACAAAGAAACTTAATGAGCATACAAACTTCACTTTACGACCTCATAAATGCTGGGTGCTTGACTGAAATGATTTATTCTGGATTTATAGATATATTTTAACTATTAAATTTAACAAACTGGTTTTTTTTCATAACCTTAACATCCACTTTTTCACAGATCTTAATGAAAACTGGATTATTTGATGGATGCGAGTGGGAGTTGGATATCTGGTTGGAAACTATGGATCAGATGCAAGAAACCAGTCACACCAAAGCAGCTGAATTCTTCGAAGCAAGTGTGAAAGAATTGCTTTCCAAGTCGAACTATTACATGGATATTATTTTGGAAAGTTCCATGGAATATATAAGTGATTGTGAACAAAAAACAAGATCCATGGTTGATTTAGAAGGTATAGTTTTTTTTTCAGCACCCATTTCAAAACCATATACATTCTCAGTAAAAAGGCTTAGCTTACTGAAAACACCAGTAGCCTTACTAATGATATCATCATCAGTTTATAGTCTGCCTAGATATATTAATGTAAGTGCTAAGCCTTTTTTTTTTTTAATCATTAAACTATTTGATAATTCTTTTTAGTCCATATTTGAATGAATTTCAGCATAAACTAACTCAGGTGTTCAGATAAGTTTTGAATTACTAATTCTAACTCGGTGATCGCTGGCTACTATAGCTAAAAGGTCTCTTGTGGTCTAATTTCCAGGTTTGTAAACATTAAACTTTGTGGTTGTTTGCAAAAAATAATTGAATTTTGTAATTTAGAGTTTATTTAAATGTTTGTAGAAATAATGTTTTTTACAAATTGTTTCAGATCTTTTGAGAAAGACTAGAAGCAAAGAAGACTGTAAAACTGGAAAGAACAGGGAGCTTGATGAACAAATTCAACCAAACACGTAAGTGTAGAATGTTATTATTGGTTTATTACTAGACGTATTGATTGTACAGGAATGAATCAGTTGTTAAGTTGAGCTTTAATTGTTTTACACATGTTTGATTTGTTAGTCATCCTTGAAAGTATAGGGATGTAAAAGAGTTTGAGTTGTGTTGATGGAGGTGAACTCTGCTTGTGGTGGAGTCACATTCTGTTGTTGATAAAATATACTTTTGTTGTTGATAGAGATGCACTCTGTTTGTTGATGGGGTTTTACTTTCTTGTAGATTAGATTGTACTCCATTGTTTCACTCTTGTCGGTGGAGTCATGCTCTGTTGTTTGATAAAATTGTACTTGGTAGTTTCACTCTTTGTGGTGGAGTCGTGCTCTGTTGTTTGATAAAATTGTACTTCGTAGTTTCACTCTTTGTGGTGGAGTCGTGCTCTGTTGTTTGATAAAAT